ATTCCTGCTTTTAAGAAGTGACTCATAAAAGCTAGTATCTTCTGTACAGACTGAACTTCCCTTTTCCTGCGCTGTCTTGTATGTCAAAGTCTGAGTTGTTCAGCAAGTATATGAAGAGATGTAATAACAAAAATCAGTCCGTCTTTTATGATTGGCGGAGAGGATGGTGCTCTGGAGCGACCATTGTACTGCAGCATTAAGATGCTTTCTGTGGTAGGGAATTCCTTCTGCTTTTTCTCCATCTGATGTATTGCCATGTCTTAAATTAACTAAATAGCCCATTCTGTGACCCATCAATTAGCATCACCAGAGAAGCAGAATAAGATGCTGTTCAGAGGGGGCAGAGCTTGTATGCTTCAGTCCCATGTAAATATAGATATTCTGGTCAAGAAGCAGGGAACTGAATATGGTTTTAGTCATAATAATATGTAGTGATCTCTTCTGGACTTTGAAATCTTCAAGCACAGGGAGAAGTCACACATGTGCTATTCATTGGCTTTTTCCTCACCCAGACAAAGTGATTCTGTCCTATCTGAGTGTTAGCTGTCTCAGCAGATAAAATGACATACATTTTCATATGTCAGAGCATTTGTGACTGCGCTCCCAAAAGAATTTCTAGTCTTAATAAAATGGTCCCCTCTAGCAGTCTTTGCTTTGATAAGGATTTCATGTGGCAGGTGATGAGTGAAGTTCATCTTTCTGTTTGCAAAGCTGATGCAAATGCCTGGGAGGCCAGTCCACCTCTCCTGTCCAGAGCAGAAGTTGCTGTTTGATTTTTAGATGACTTGTATTGAGGATGGGCAGCAGCCACAGACAGAGAAGCAGGATGACTAAGCTCACAAGTTAAAGGTTGGGACTTTGGGATCAAAGCCAACAAAGTAGTTCATAAAGCAGCTCCTTGTACTGCACTACTAGTAAAAAACTACCTTGGATGCATCCATACAAGCGTACTGGAGAAATCAACCAAACTTCGGAGCTGCTGCACTGATTTTAAGGTGGTATTTG